ACCAAGTTCATCTACCAAAAAAAGGCATTATAGTTATCACTATAGGGTTACACATTCCCAACTTACCATCAGATGGATGGACCTCAATGAGGACATCCTCTATTGGGGCAGCCATTACTTTTTGATTTTGAACTTACAGTTTCAGGTGTTTTATTTTATATCCTAAAGGTCACAGTTGACACTTGGTGTTCTTTGATTGGCTGTGAATGACGCAATGACTTCTATTTCGGCATTCTTCTCCCACACATTTTTATCATCAGTCCTCTCACCTGTAAAGATAAACACATATCACCTGCATGATAACTTCGAGACTAACTTTCTCTCAGCCGAGACTAACTTTCTCTCAGCCTTCCCTTTTGAGTTAGTAAGTTTTAAACAAAAATGAGTGTTTGTGTTTATGTTGACGTCTCACGCACATACTAGTTCCACACCATTGTTTTCAAAAAAGGGGATCCATAGTTTGTATGTCTTAGCGTTACAAACAAGTTCCTCTCTTTTAGGGGATCAATAGTTTGAATATTTGGCATTCAAACTAGTTCCACTCCTGTTTCAGGGGATCAATAGTTTGAATGTTTGGCATTCAAACTAGTTCCACTCCTGTTTCAGGGGATCAATAGTCTGTTTGTTGTAGACAAACTAGTTCCTCTCCTGTTGAAAGGGGATCAATAGTATGTGCATTACACAAACTCATTTCTGTTATTCATTTACTGATTACATGGACAAGTTCTTCTATTATGACCAAATTGACCACAATTACCACATTTTCTTTGTGTTGCAGGTGGTTCTAGAGATTGCCTTGGAGAATGTGGTATTTCAATCTCCATTGCAAGGTCTGGTGGATTATCTAAACCTGGAGTTGATTGTCGAGATGATCCTGTTGGTCGAGGTGCATCAGGAAGAGGGCAGGTTACATCTTTACATTCGTATCTGCAAAACGATCTTATCTTTTCGTAAAGGTACCATTTCCTTTCAGTTGACATACCCTTTGGTGGTAATATATTAGGTAGTTCATCTTCCATTATTTGAGCGTCCTCCTTCAGCAAATTGAATTGTGTGACTGGACCATCTACAGCTTGTCTGGCTGCAACTACACCAGGTGAGGTCGCATTTACAACAAAGTGTTGAAACCCTTTGATGCCTTTTATTTTCTTGAATAATGTAGCAAAGTAACTACACCAGTCAAGTGTTTCTACAATGAGTTCACCATTGCTACTTCCTACTGGTTGGGCTTTGTTCACAGCAGATGATTGTTCTACAACTTGAATGAAGTCATCCAATGAGTCCACCTCTGCTTTACGGAATTTTTGCTTTAACAGTCCGAAGCACCAGTCTGGAGAATATTTTGTGTGTCCAACTGGCAGAAAGGATATTGAAATGGACGCATTGAGTCCTGTCATGACTCTCCATAAGAGGTACTAAAATAAATAAAGAATTACATTTAAAATGTTCATTATTGTGCATGTAATATACTTACTTGAATAACTGCATTATTTTTATTTTGCCCTGTGCAGTTGTCAGCATTGAAATGGATACTGACTGAGTTGAGGCCATGATTCTTCAAATAAAAATGTACCATGCTTATGACAGGATTTGCCCCTTTACCAGTGTCGAATGATTCATCGATCAAGAAATTAAACTGCTGAGGGATAGCTTCACAGCACACGCCAAATATGCCACATTTCCTGGGAGTAAGAAAATAAATTGGACCTGCTTGTAGTGGACTTGAAGGATAGTGAACCTTTAAGAAAGTAAGTAAGCTAGATACACTTTCATAATTATCATAAAATGTTACCTGTTGAGCATAATCGAAGCTATAATGTGCTACAATATTTAACATAGCAAGTGGCCTTGTTAGTGGGGGACTGTAATTGTTTGCTGCATCAGTATACAGCCCTTTTAACAATAATTGTGCCTCTTTTAATACATCCTTATAGTACTCCCTTTCCTTTTTAACTAGACTTCTGTGATCTAGTGCCTTTTGCATTGCCTGAAAATTCTAAATAATACTTGTGTTATTACAACACTGACTTACCTCAGTTATCCTTTCATCTGATTGCATGTTAGCACTTCTTATAATCAGTCCACTTATCTTTTCACAAGTGGCACACAAGTCAGACATAGGCTTCATTTATTCAATATAAGGCAGGTAGCGTCGCCACAACATGTTGAATGTTGTTTCAGCACATGCTTTGACATAAAGCCCTTCACATGATTCCGCATACTCTAAGTATACCTGCCTTTTAGATGTACTGCATGGTAAGAACTTCTTATTCTCGTAACTTTTCATTCCAGGTATTCTTCCAGGAAGACTGATTCCATGGACTTCAGCATAATTTCTGATGAAAGCAACAACCCGGAGAATATCATCATAAGTCAAAGCATGGTTTGGTGCATTTCCGTGAACTCTAATAAAGTTAAGTACATAACATTGAATTTGTAAGTCCATTCATACCTTGGTATTAATCCATTCATTCTGTCGTTTTTTATGATTTCCTCAAACCTGTTTTTGCCACATGCATGTAGCTTCTGAAATGTTACTCTACATATCTAGTTGAAAAACGATTAATTTTGTGTTGTGTCACTCATAGTTACAAACCTTATGACCTTGATGCATGAACGTAAAAAATTGCCTCTTTCTCTCTTTCTGTCTCCTGTGGTTGCCAGTCGACAATCCCCCCATGGTAGATGTTGCTGCCATTTGACTCATAATAGCAATTTCTTGAACAGGCTTTGCCATGGCTTGTATGTCACATCTATATGTTTTTATGTAAGAGTGACTGAACAGTGCATAGCAATTATCTGAGCAACCACATCCATGTTCAAAGAACTTTGATAATTCTTCTTCCTCCTGTAGGTCTTCCTTTCTCATGTCATCACCAGAGTGAGTAGTTGAAGTAGCTGGAGCATCAGGCATCGCTGATTCTAAATCAAGATCTCATACTTGTAGCTCCAGAGCCACCTCAGGATCAAACAGTGGTGGATTAATATCTTCATCACAATCTTTTGTCTCTTTCTCTTCTTCTTTCCCTTCCTCTACCTCTTCTTCCATATCTTCTACTGCTTCATAGTCTGTCTCTATCAATTAACAAATACACTGTATAACTAAGTTTAATATAATAATATTGTGCATTTATACAGGTGATGGAATGTCATTGTTGTGATAGCTAACTGCTATTCACAGTTAGTATGTAAACAGTGTTATGAATAAGCTTACCACTAGTTCCATCACAAAAGTAGTCCCCAAGAACTGAAGCAACGTAGTCACTGTCTCGAGGACCTATTTCTTCATTTAACAACGAGCAATGTCTCTTTCTGTAGCCATAGTTTTTATAAGTAGTCTTCTTCGTCTTTGTTATACTTTAAATAGTTGCTATAGAGACTCCATGGTTACCTAATGACGCATTAAAGCCCTCCGTTTTTATTCCGTGGTCGCTCCGTGTAACATTCTCCGTGCACAATCAAGGTAAAATGTCGAAGGGCTTATAACTCGGCAAAGAAGGCTTCGCTACCCCTGATTTTGGTATCAAATGAAAGGATTTTGTTTATATAACATGTTTATGTGATAAAATGAATTTCGCCCAGGTAAAGATTTTTCATGATTATGAGCCCATAGCTCAAAATGATAATTCCCGCAGATAGCCTGGTTTTCTCATATCGGGTCACATATGTTAATGCATGAAAAATTCTACAACAGAAAAATTTCATACCTAGTATAACTAAGCAAAGTCATTTAATACAGTATCTTTTCCATATTTGCTGCTAAAAAAGTAACAAAAAAAAACCTAATGCCGGAAAGACAACAGCCATTTATTCATGACTATGTGGATGATACTATTAATGTAACAAAATTTGTACGTGGATCTTTATCAGGTTGGTAACCAAAGTGTACACGTACCATTTACAAATGCTGGTGGAGAAATCATATTGACAGACAATTAAAATAAATCTGTCAATTAAAAGTGCAAAAACAAACCCAATTTATGCA